TGATGCGCGCCACGTTGAGCAAACGCTGCCCAATGGAAACGTAGATGGAATGACCGCATCTTTCGACAGGATCTGCTGGTTGATGCGCACCTGGTTGATGATCGTGGACACGGCAATGGATGTTTTCCCGTCTGACGATCGCCCACCAATCAGCTCGCGCTGGCCACGGCCAATGGGAATCATTGTGTCTACGGCTTTGAAACCGGTGAGCAGGTTGTAGTTCACTGGAGAGCGTGACACGATGTTCGGAGCGCCGGTGTCCACCTTGCCGACTGTTTGTTCCAGCAGACTGCGGCTGCGTGTGAACAGGCCGACGGGGACCTCGTGGCCAAGTGGGTTCACCACCTTGCCAAGCACGCCCGCGCCCACGGGAATGTGGAGCAGCTGGCCCGTCGCCATCACCTTCTGGCCAGACTGGACCTCCGTGATGTTATCCATCAGAATAATGCCGATGCGGCCGTCCTTCTCCAGGTTGAATACCAAGCCGGCGGCAAACGTTGTCGGGTTCACCTGGATCTGGATGATGGTGTTGTAAGCCACGCCAGGGTTGCCAGGTGCAGGTATGAGCGTGGCAATGGTGCCATCGATGGAGTGCACATAGCCAATCATCTCCGTCGCCTTAAAGAACGACTTCTGTCCCGCGGCAGCCGAGGCAGCGGCCTTCGCGCTGCCCGCCGGTGGTGCTGTGGAGGCGAAGCGTGCCGGCAGGCCCGCAGCAAACTTGGAAAAGAAACGGCGCATATCTATTTCTTTTTTAGAGGTCTTGTGGATCTGATTGACAGAAAGAAAAAAGGGGTAACCAATAATGAAATGCTCTTATCGGAGAAGCCTTTTTTAGATTCGTGGCTTCATTTTTTGCAAAATGTAGTGGCCAATGTATCACATGTAAGATGAAAATGCTCAAAACTTTTAATTTTAGTGCGTATATGCTAGTATTGAAAAAAGGCTTTTCCGTGACAAGGCTGTATCCTCGCGTCGCTTCATTGTTCTCTTTTAAGGAAATCACTCCTTTTTTTACTTTTTACTTCTCCCTTGTTCTTCCTGTCCTTCATTCACCTCCTAAATTTCCTTAATCAATAGACCGCGTTTGTGGTTTGGTTGCCAGTTTGTTTTGATTTCTTGGACAAAGACAGAATCGGGCTCCAAAGACGGAAAAACAGAGCGTCGACCTATAATTACAAAGATGATAAAAAGAAACAAACATTTTGTCAAGACACGGGAGAAGAGAATAATTTCTTTTACGCCCATGCTAGCCAGCGATATTTTCCCCCCTGCCATATAGCTCAACTCGCTTAAAAGCCTTGTTTTGCGATACGGTAAGAGCGCTTTTTGGTACGACCAATATTCATGCCAAACACTGGCGCATAGGTCCTCCCCTGAATTGTTATGGTGTTGGATATGACGTTTCAAAGGTTCATCCATGAGATCGATGCGTCGATCCATAGAAGCTACAAACGCGACAAAGGGCTTCGTAAGAGCCGTTCTTAACCCCATTCCGATATATTTCTCTTCCTACAATCTATTCTACGGGTTGATCCATGCCTTGAAAAGGGCCAAGCAAATGAGTACAAAAAAGAAAGACTTTCCTCTCTCTTGGAAATGATGAATGGCAAAAGGAATTTAACGTTCCTCCTCGTTCTACTCCCCAGTATGGTTGTCAGATGTTACATCTAATTAGAAGTTTCTCAAAATACAGAAACAAATACAAATACAAATGCAAATAATAATAATAACATTATACATATATATATATATATATAATGCAGCAAGATTATTAAGAAAAAATAATAGCAAAATTTAATAAAACGGAGGCTACATTGCGCATTGCTCCATTAAGCGTCATTTAGTTGCCCCTTCCCCCTTTTTTCTTAAAATTCTCCTTTCTGATCGCTGACCAAAATGTCGTAAACATTTTCCAGCAACTTTTATATAAATCTAGAGAGAATATTGAAAACCAACAGTTATTTTACTTCCATTAACTCTTAAGTGCGTCTCCAATGAAAGAAGTAACTTAAATATTTTACGCTGATGGCATACCCAAAAGCAAAGATAAAACTCTATGTATAGTTGCTATTGGCTAAGCTTTTTATCGCTGACCGACCAGGAGGCGTCGCAAATCCAATTATGCATCCAGTCAGTAAAACCAGAGAAATAGAGACTTCAATTTCTGTCCCATGATAAAATTTGGCCAAGAGAAAAGGGAATAATCTTCTGGGCCGCTGACTGGATCCTAAAATTATTTATAAAAACCAAACAAGATAGAGAAAAAGAGGAACCCAGAGGTAGTTAATTGCCTCAATGTCTTCTACTAATAAAATATTTATATTCTGTTGACCGCTCACGTGGCCTTTTGTCCTCAGTTAGGATTTGGAATGTTATTACTTACGAAGTGGCAGACTTTGGGGTCCTCCAGCCACAAGACCCCGCCGCGCGGTGGGAATCAAAAAAGGGTGGGTGGGAAGGTAGAATAAAAATCAGGGTTCTCCGGCCGCCATCGGCACCCTAAAGTCGTGGCCTTTCTAAAATTCATACGGTAGAAAAGTATCATAAAGAATGCCTTCATTTATCAGGATAAATACACATTCGTTAAGTTAGCTACCTCCCCCTATGAAAAATCTCTTCACAAGCACCTAAAATTTTGATAACATTACCAGAAATGGCTAAACCGATAGTACAACAGGAATGCATAGATTAAAATCAGCGGTCAAAATAACAAGAAAAACAAAGTCCGATTCAAGCAATTGCAGCCTAGAGTAAAAAAACCCAGCCACACATCCGAAATAGAATTAATTAAATCCACTAGAAATAGATCCAACAGGTTGGACAATAACAAAGCAGACCAATAGACGCCCAACAGCAATTGATTCAATATAAGCAAAATCATGACATACTGTCTTCTCCTTGTCCACGGAAAGGGCCAATGGTAAAGGAAGATAAATGGCAATACAGAAGTTAAATCAGTAAGGGAGCTGAGATATAAATCATACAATGAACACTGGAATAGAAATCAGACCTAATGTCCCTTTGGGACACAAATGGGCGTTATGACAAGTTTTCCCTTCTGCAGAGAGGATAGCCGTTCATAGAACAACAACACCAAAGTCTCTTTTTGTATTCAAAAAAAAAAACTACAAAAGTTTTCCAACAACAACAACAAAAAAGGACAAACATAAATAACGTCAACCTGAAGGGTGGTGTGTCTAGAATGCTCAACTCTGAGAAAGAGTAAATAGAGGAAATTAAATACATAGAAATACACGCGAGCAACTATATACTGTATGAACCTCCCTATTTGAGTACAATTACATCATTTTAAATAATGGTTTTTATCTTGCTTAGGAAAAGAAAAACAAAAACAAAAAAAAAAGTTAAATTAGAAAGCAACAATAATGACAACATTATTAGGGAGCGCTGTTAAACCACTTACTACACACAATACGATATTATTATTATTATTATTATTATTATTATTATTATTATTATTATTATTATTATTATTATTATTATTATTATTATTATTATTATTATTATTATTATTATTATTATTATTATTATTATTATTTATTACCAATGTTAACTCATATTAGTTTACTCTCTGCTTCAAAAACCTACACTTTTCTTGTTCATTTTTTGGCTGCAGCAAGGAAACGATTCCATAAATCATCATCATTATAGTTGTTATTCGTCTCCTTGGCTCGAGGAATTTTAATGGCAGGTTCGGACATGGACCTCTTTCGTTGTTCCTTCTTTTTCAAAATGATCTGCTCGGACATATAACTAGCAACTGTCGCGTGGATATTCGTTTCTTTTTTACTCTTCTGAATTTGCTTTTCATTGGAAGAATCAGCCCCAGAATAGTCACAAGTATTCTGCAATGTTTCCTCATCAGATTTTTCATTGTGATCCATAGCACCTTCAACTATGTTAAACGTGCCATAATGTTCAATTAGTTTCATTTGTTTTGCCTCTGGTAGCTCCAAGGCATCACGATATTGCTTATTAGAATCAAAAGGTGGAGCGCTGAACCACGGGATTCGTCCTCTTTGCCAGTCGTAGAGAACCATACGCGATGCGGCTTCTGTATCGGGTTGACCGCCACTAACAAGTTTACCCCTAAGCTTTGCCAGTTTTTCAAGGAAGTCATTCACATCCCTCCAGTCAGAAACACCATATGTGGCAACTATGTCTTTAGGCTTCACAATCTCAAGAACCGTATTTACAACATCTGTCTTGTCTACATTTCCCAAGCGTTCTACACGTACAACTCCCTTTAAAACGGCCTGAACATCATTGTTTGTTTCGCGATCATAAATGACACCGGGACAATCAATAAGAAAAATAGTCTTTGTGAGAGCAACATACTGCCAAACTTTCGTTTCTCCTGGTATAGGTGCAACCTTACAAACGGATTTTCGCCGAAGAGTATTAATCAGAGAACTTTTACCAACGTTGGATAGCC